TTTCACTTAAGATATAGCCTCAATGTGCATCCACTTAGCTATAAATGTCTCTAATTTCTCATTTTTTATGGCTGAGTAGTATTCCATTTTATAAAAAACCACATTTTCTTTATCCAGTCTCCAGTTGATGGGCACCTGGGCTGTTTCCAAGCTTTAGCTATTACAAATTGTGCTGCTATAAACATGGGTGCACATATATTGCTGGGGTATGATTCTTTTAATTCTTTGGGGAAGATAACCAGCAGGGGAATAGCTGGGTCACATGAGACTTCCAGTCCTAGTTCTTTGAGGTATCTCCATAGTGATTTCCACAGTGGTTGCACCAGTCTACACTCCCACCAGCAGTGGAGTAGGATTCCTCTTTCCCGACACTCCCACCAGCATTTGTTATTGGTTGATTTCATGATAGCAGGCATTCTTTCTGGGGTGAGATGAAATCTCAGTGTTGCTTTCATCTGCATCTCTCAAATGACCAGTGATGTTGAATAATTTTTCATGTTTATTTGCTATTTCTACTTCTTTGAGAAATGTCTGTTCATTTCAGATGCCCATTTTCAGATTGGGTCTTTAAATTTGAGAGGTCTGATTCTTTTAAGTTGTTTATAGATTCTACATAGTAGATCTTTGTCTGAGGAATAGCAGGTGAAAACTTTTTCCCACATTGTGGGTTGTCTCTTCACTCTGTTGGTGGATTCTCTTGCTATGCAGAATCTTTTTAATAAGATGAGACTGCACTTGTTGATTCTTTGTCCTAGTTCACAGGTGACTGAGGTTTTATTCATGAAATCTTTTCCTACACCAATGTCTTCAAGAGTTCTACCTAACCTCTGTTCCAGGAGCTTTAGTGTTTCTGTTTTAATATTTAAATCTTTGATCAATTTTGATTTTAGTTGATTGCATGGTGAGAGATATAGGTCTAGTTTTAATCTTTGGCAAGTTGAAACCGATTTTTTCCAGCACCATTTATTTATTTTTATTTTTATTTTATTTTTGGTACCAGGGATTGAACTCGGGTCTTTGTGCTTGTGAGGCAGGCGGAGGAACCACTGAGCCAAATCCCTGGCCCTCCAGCACCTTTTATTAAAGAGGCTATCTTTCCCCCTGTGAAGGTGTTTGGCTCCTTTGTCAAAGATGAGGTAGTTGAGTGTGTCTGGAGTTGTTTCTGCATATTCTAATCCATTCCACTGATGCTTGGGTCTGTTTGTTTGGCAGCACCATGCTGTTTTTATCACAGTAGCTTTGTAGTATAGTTTCAAGTTAGGACTTGTGATACCCCCTACCTTGTCTTTGTTGCCTAGAATTGCTTTTGCTATTCTAGGTCTCTTAATGTTCCAAATGAATTTTTGGATTGTTTTCATAAGGTCTGTGAAGTATGCTCTTGAATTTCAATTGGGATTGCATTGAATCTATATAGCAGTTTTGGAAGTATGGCCATTTTCACTATATTGATTCTTGCTACCCGGGAGAAAGGGATGTCTTTCCATTTTCTGATATCCTCTTCAATCTCTCTTTTCAGAGTGCTATAATTTTCAGAGTAGAGACCTTTGATTTCTTTCATCAGGTTAATTCCTAGATATTCAATTTTTTTGGATGCTACTGTGAAATGAATTACTTGCCCCATTTCTCTCTCAGTGAGTCTATTGTTCTTGTACAGGAAAGCCATTGATTTTTGTGTGTTGACCTTGTATCCAGCTACTCTCTTGAATTTGGTTATTAAGTCTAGAAGACTTTTGGTGAAGTTCTTGGGGTCTTCTATATAGAGTATCATGTCATGTGCAAATAATGACAGTTTAACTTTATCATTTCCTATCTTGACTCCTTTTATTCTTTTATTTCTGTGGCTAATGTTTCCAAAACTATATGGAACAGGAGTGGTGATAGTGGACATCCTTGTCTTGTTCCTGATTTTAGTGTGAAGGATTTCAGTTTCTGACCATTTAGTATGATGTTGGCTGTTGGTTTTTCATAGATGGCTTTTATCAGGTTGAGATAGAGACCATCTATTGCAATTTTCTGTAACGTTTTTACCAGGAATGTGTGTTGGATTAACAAATATCTTAGTTTAATTCGAGGTGTTTGCCAGTATTCTTTCTACACAAATTACTTTCCCCAAATATTTGCTGTTAGTATAGAATATATTTATTCCTCATTGGCCTATTTTTTTTTTAGGGTGAAGAGAACTTTGAGACCTATAATATATGATTTTTAATTATTATTTTGAAAGCTAGAAATGGAAGACACATAAACTAAATATCAATTTTAGCCACATGACAGTTTCTCCATAGCTCCTTATTAAAATGTTATCAAATAAGAGATTTTTCAAAAATAAAGAGGGAGAAACTCACTATAGTAGTTCAAATGAAAACATGCTAGCAGTTCAAAAAAAAAAAAACACAAAAAAACAACCCACTGCAATGAGCCACTCATTTGCTACTGCAGCTAAGAAGGCTAACAAAACAGTGAGCTCATGTTTCACCCACGGGAGACACAGAGGAGGAGTCCTCAGACCCTGACCACAGAAGAGGTGGGGCAGAACTTGCATTCTGCTCACTACACAGCTGAAGGGCTGTGTTCACAGTGCTCAGCACACTGGAGATGACTTTGCCACTTGCTGATGAGAGCTTCTGAGAGGATCTCTATCTTCTTCAGAGGTACAGGTGAGGAAAGGAGAACTCAGCTGTGTTTTATTTCTAACATGCACACCATTTACTTTTTTTCCTTAGGTTTCTGCATTTTGACTTTTTAAAAATGAGTACATGTTTGCAGTACATAATGATTACATTCACCGTGGTGAGTTGGTACATGTCCATATCTTAATTCATTTTTTTTTTTTGGTCCCGGGGATGGAACTCAGGTCCTTGAGCTTGCGCAGCAGGCAGCAAAACCACTGAGCTAAATCCCTGGTCCCTTTTTTTTTTGCATATCTTAATTCTTTTTACCTTCTTAATTCTCCTTAAGAATTCCATTTCTAGATCCTCTTCTTGTGCAAAAAAACTATTGCCCTGTTTCCTATTTCCATCTTTTATTTTTCTCTTTAAATTATTAATACTTTTGGTTTCTCGCATAAGTGAAGCCATGTGATATTTAAGCTTATGTGTCTGATTTATTTCACTTAACGTTATGATCTCAGGGTGGTGCATCCATTTTCCTACAAATGATTCAATTTTTCTTTTTTTTATGGCAGAGTAGTACCCCATTGTGTATAAATACTACATTTTTCTTAGCCATCTACCTGTTGCTGGAGATGTTGACCACTTCTAAGATTTAGCTATTATAAATTGTGCAGCTATAAACTTGGGTATTATATAGATCAGTGCAGTATGATGTCTTTAACTTGAGAAGATACTTAGAAAGGAAATAGCTGGGTTAAATGGAATGAGATTCTTTAAAAAACTGGAATTAGAAACTGCAGAGGTCATTTTGTACCAGTAATTTCATTTTTAGATAATCATGCAAATGCTTACTACTTTGGAGGGTACTGTAAAAGCAGGGCTGTCATTTACTTAGAATTCACAATGGTGTCCTTATGTGGATGTGATTATTCAAATATGTTTAGAGAAAAGAAGACGATGGCAAGAAATAACACTCTTTAAATATAAGGTGGATTGATATATAAATAAGTCAGTTACCTTGTGCCAGAGGAGAACTAAGATTTGTGGTTAAGAGTTAGGGATGGCTGTCAACTAAGAAAGGACTTTCTACGATGAGTTGGAAGATAGTAAAACAGATTGTTTTATAAGCTAGTGAGATTCCAGCCACTAACATTTAAAATCTGAGGTTGAGTGCGTCTCGGCCTTTTGGCTAAGATCAAGTGTAAAATCTGAGGTTGAAAACGGCCCCCTTCAAAACTGTTTTAAAGACCATCAATTATGGGATGGAAGATTTCATTGTCTGACTTAAAAGGTTTCTTCCAAAGTTAACATTCTGTGCTTCTAATTATTGATTTACATCAACTTTTCATTTCTTCTTTTCCCTTGAACACTGAAAGCAGCACATTAGCATTTATCAAGTAATTCAAGGCACATGGGAGGTGAGTACAGAAGCCTGGAGTGTTGAGAGAGAAAACTGAATGCTCCCTTGACTCTTGCAACTTCCCAGTGATGTTGGAGGAAGCAGGATAAGGAAGATGCACTGCTGGAATAATATAATCCTTGTGTAGCTGTGCAGTGGTTCATGTGTAAGGAATGCTGGAATGACTTATGTGCAGCTAAAGAGATGATCCTAGATAGCTTCCCCAGGGAGAGAGGAACTTTCCAAAAGAAAGAGGGCAGTGGCCTGTAAGAGAAGAGGGACTTCTTTGTCACAAAAATCAGCTCCTAAATCATTTACTGTTCACATAACTATCTTCTGGGGTGTAGATCATTATCTTTCCCATGTAACGTTTTTATTCAAAATTCTTCCTGAAGATCCTGGGATGTAGCTCAGCAGCAGAGCACCTACCGAGCAAGCGCAAGGCCCTGAGTTCAATTTCCGGTACCAAGAAAAAGAAAAAAAAAATTCTGATGCAAATCTCATCTGATGGCAGTAAAATAAATTAAAATTTGAGCATTTGTAGACTGACTGCAGTTCAACGACTGACTTAATTCTGTGGGCCATGTTATATTAGGTATATTGGCCAGTCAACTCTTGCTCTCCTATTCATATTTTATTTTAACTTTGAGCTAAGTGCAAAGTCAGATCAAATGAATTGACTGAGCACTACTTAAAGCAACTATATTAGGCATGCCAGGATTTTACTAATTACCTAGTCATCTGACTAAGTTCCATTCCCTCTCTGCCATTGGGAGTCTTTCCTTTCTTTTATTGTTTCAAAGGACAAGAGCTGTTTGCTGAGACAGTGCCTTAGCCAAGCATATTAAGGAGGAACATATTTGTGAATGTGAGTACATATATCAAATAATGTCCTGAGTAGTTTTCCCTGCTGTTTTATTTCTCCCCTTTGACATAATTTGCTGCCTGTTCAGTTATGGCAGTCAGATATTTGTGTTAATTAGATATTTGTTGTCTGTCCGGAAGTGGAGGTACTTTACTCACAGTGGGAGCTGGCTCTTAGATAATCCATCGGAGTGGCTCTTTTTGTTTTATTTTCCTCCTGACACACATCTCTATCTCTTCAGCACAGTTTATGGTTCTCTGAAAATACATCAAACTTAAATGAGTCCCCGAAGCAGCACTTCTTTTGTTCTGTCTGTTGTCTAAGAATGAGTTGTTGATCTGGTTGTACCAGGAAACATGAACAGCTACAGAAGAAATACGAACACTTCGTCTCACTCTCCAAGAACTTGAACTGCTTATAAGGTGGCATGTGTGGTAAGAGAAACATTTCCCATGTAATTAAGTGCAGAAAGCAAAAGCCATTTTACAATAGAAAATAATAACATGAAAAGAGCATTAATGAAATCAGGTGTGGTGGTACTTACCTATAATCCCAGCACTCTGGAAGGCTGAGGCAGGGGAATCACAAGTTTGAGCCCACCCTGGGCAACTTAGCACTTACTGAGACCCTGTCTCCAAAAAAAATAAAAGTAAAAATAGAGTTGTGGTTGTAGATGAGTGTAAAGGCCCTAGCTTTAATCCCAGTACTGTAAAAGAAAAAGAAATGCATCAACGAAATAGTTGCTTAAGTTTAATTCTGGTATGATCTTACATCTTCCAATAGTGTATGTATGCATTCACACATGCTTAAATGGTGTTTGCATGAAAACATTTTTGAATCCTCTGCACAGGCTTCCTCCTGTACTTAGCAACAACAAGCCAAATGTCTAACTACTGGACACCTGGCAGTGACAAAATAGTAAGAACAAGAGAGAAGCAGCAAAGGGCTGAGACAGTAACTGTTGGCTTCCCATGATAGCGAGAACTTCAAAACATAGCTTTCTTCATATGTGCTTTCCCTCTTGATGTATGTAACCCTGCTAACAGAATAGCTAGGGTGGAGACCCCATGGCAGTTGAAGGCACAAGGAAGAATGGCAGCATGTGCCCACTCCAGGTCCTCTGCTCTGCCTCTGGTCTGTCAGAGCATCTGCGTCTTCATCCCACCCTCATTTCAATCCACAGTCAAGTGCCTTTTCTACTGCTCCTGTGTCCTATGTCTGTACATGCACTTTGCTGCTAAACTAAATTTCATTTTTTCATTTTCCCTCCTATATCTCTTTTACTTTTCTGGATCGCCTGCCTATCTGTTCTGGGTTTAACACTGTCATTGTTGTGATCCATATTATTTTCCTCTCTCATCCTTTTGCCCTTTAAAATCTCCCTAACATGTTCTTCCTTATCTGCCCTCAAAGTTCTGCAAAGTTTTGTTGCTCTGTTTTCCAGAACACTGAGAGCCACATCGTGCATGTCGGGCCTTGAACTGAATTTCCTGTTTCTGTTCTTCAGTTCATGATCTTCAACCTGTCACACAGACCCATCTCCAACTCTCATGACAGAGTCATTTGCATCTAAATGCCAAACCTTTAAGAGAACAGCCTCATAGGCCTTGATTACATTTTTCTTTTTCAAAGTGTTAAAAAAGGAAGCTGAAGTACACTGGTATTTGAATTGACAGGCAGCTCCAAACCAAAAGTGTTTCAGAGGTTCCGCTGAGGTTACATAAAGGGGAGGATTTTAATATGGTGAACACAGAGGCAAAGCAACGAGAATATTCGGTTGGTTAGTTATGCAGTTGCTTTATTTGTCTTTCTGCTGGAAAGTCTCTAATTTTGGAAATTTAGGTTGTTTGATGGCTTCGATTGCGTAGTCTTAGGTTCCTTTTCCTTTGATGTAGGTACTTGTAAGAAACAGCTCAAGATAAGTTTCACTTTTATTTGCAAACCAAGCAGATTAAGCTCACCTGGGAGGCCTAACTGGCTTTCTGCTCAAGGAGTTTACAGGACTCATTTCCATTTTAATTTAACAAAATTAGTCAACCAGGAAGTCTCTCTCCTTTCTCTAAATGTCACTCTGATTTGCACTTATGGATGATTAGCCAGCGGCACCTGTACTTTCCCGCGCGGAGCGAAGGTTCCCGGAGACTTCCGCAGTTGTCCCTACCTCTTCTTGTGTACCTCCAAAGCAGAGCCGTGTTTCTACATGGCACACAGAGTTCTGCAGAGGCCACTCTGCTGAAAGGGTGTGCGCATGCCTGCCTGCATGTGTGTCACGAGCGTGTCCCTGCAGACACGTGAGAGTTCACGGATACGGAGAGGACTCAGTTACAGAGTGCATAGCAGAATGTCATTGTGTCCATAAGTACATAACTGACTCTTTGGCAGGTGAAGTCAACACTAAATTATCACTTTGGGGTTGGCACTCATTAATTTTTATTTATTTATTTATTTATTTATTTATTTATTCCAGTACTGGGGATCAAACTCAGGACCTTGTGCTTGCCAGACAGGCATGGTGCCACTGAACTAAATCCTCAGCTCTAGTAATATTTTATAATTAATCATGTTCTCTTGCAATCTTTGAGAAAAGCACTGTTATTGGTTTTGTTTACTGATGAGGAAACTTGAGTACAGAGATGCTAGAACCTTTCCTGAGGTCCTACAGCTTGTGCTGGAGATAGAATGAAGAGCATGTTGTCTGATACTAGAAACCCGACTCCTTACTGTGATGTCATGTTGCCATCACTGCTGATTTATTTTTTAAATATATATTAAAGACAACCCAAATTATATTCATGAATTTTACATAGAAAAGTGACTTTGAAAATATTTTTAAAACAATAAAGCAAATATTTATGTTTGTTATAGCTCAAATGGATTTCAGTTAGCAATCTAGAAATGTTTTGCACATAAAATTTTAATATAATATATAAATATTTAAATATAAAATATTAATATAAAATGTAAATGTATGCTTTAAAAAGCATAACTTTAAAAAATTTACACCAGGGGATCCCCTATTTTTCCTACATCCTAAGAAATATGAAGCAGAATGAAGATGTCTAAGTAAAATAAATAAATTAAATTACACAGCTAAGGAATGCCAAATTAAATTGTTCATGTGTCCTCCCTACAAGAGGTCAGTCATCCAGGGCACTAAAATAGCTGCACTACCAGTAAATACAGGAACTGTGAAACATTTTGCTTTTGTTTTCATGAGATTAAATAGCTCTTCTGGCTTTGTTTATGGATTTAATTTTTTTTCTTTAGTAGATGTGAAATCGAATGAGAATTTAGACTATTACTAAAGGAATTATCATTTGGTTGGAGTAAATTTCTGTAGCCCATCATCTGGTTGGAAAAGTATCCTCTAGGAGAAAATTCTGTAACATAAATATCTGAGATTACAAATGACTTCTTTATCAATGAGTCCAAGGTGTAATGAAAGTTTCCTGTAACATGTTCTCCTTCAAAATTTCTTTGTTAACCATATTAAATATGACATTGTTTGATGTGTAATTTTTTGAATTGTTTCTTCTGAGTCCAAAAGCAGATTTTTCTTTTTACCATGAAGCTCTAAATTTTTAATCTTTTTATATTTCATGGATGTAAATATTAAAATATGACATAAAATCTGATACCAAGGAATACCACTCCCTTTCATATCTGGAGAGCAGCATTACAGCAATATGTCTTTCTCTCCCTAAGAATGTTCCCTTTTGAGTTAGTTTTCCTGAATTACAGTGATGTTGTTCTACCTCTGATCTACCATCTATCATTTCTTTGTGAGATTTGCAGTCCACATTATCAGACACCCAACTTCCTCAGTGATCAGCCATCAGAACCAGATTTCTAGATTCCTGGGTTCCTTGGTAGCAGCTCTGTCTCAGAGGAAGAGAGGAGAGGAAGGTAACAGTCCAGGCTTACCAAGCACATGCATTGTGCTGTAGCCCCTGGCACCAGGCCTGGTGACATCCAAAGTTGGGGCAGTACCCAAACTGATTAGTTTGTTTCCCGTGTCTGTAAAGGTACAAAACAGAAAAAGATCCTTTAATACTCAAGTGAAGGGCTGCTAAGCTAGAGGGTTTTTTATTACTTAGTAGGATGCATTGTTACAGCTGTGACAGGATGGTTGCAACTGTAGTTGTTGCATAATTATTGTTATCAGACATTCTGAACAGTCTCTCCAAGGAAAATGAGGTACAGGCTGGTACTGAAACTCACTGACATTCAGGAGTAAATTTTCTAGAACAAGTAAACTATAAAATGTACCCTCTGTCCCTGTCAAGATTGTGAATTCAAGTATTGCTGTCATCTTGGTGTCCCATTAAGCAACTATTATCATTCACCATTTCTTCTTGCCTCACCCTACTCCCAGTGATGCAAAGGAGCCACAATTCGAATGCAAGGGATCCCTCCCTCTGGCTGCAGGTCTGTTCTACTCAGCTACAGGTCATTTCTCCTCTCCTCTTCATCTGTTTGATGTTCCTTCTTGCTTGTGTCTTATTTTCACAATTGGTTAGTAACCATATTCCAAGTTCTATGTGGAACGTGACTGAATGACAAGTTTACTACATTAGTGTTCCCTCAAAAATTAGACAACCAGATAAAGAAATGATTCTACACAGTAAAAATTTACAAGGAATGAATCTCAAGTGGAGAAGTACCCATTACTATGGCAGTCTAGGTGAACTAATCTTTAGGGACCATGGGTCTTTGTTAGTGATTTTCAAACTTAGATCTTTTTATCAAAGGATCTAGATTCTTATATGTAAGGATCTCCCAACCTGTTTGAAAGATGAGATTGGAAGGAGCTGAAGGTAATATGCTTCATTCTGTTTCTTCAGAAGGAAGTAATATTGTTTACATGTCAACATGAATAACAGCAGAGAGAGATTCTCAGGTCTTAGTATTTATTCAGGATTAAGCATTAGTGTGTTATGGGCATGCTCTGGCAGAGCAAAGGAATATCCAGGAAAGTTGGGGCAAGGTGAAATTTTTCCAGGCAAATATGCGAAGTACCTATAATTTGTTTGGAAACAAAGAGAACCTTGGTCTAGTTAGACAATGCTGTCTTTGTGACTCATGTGGCAAGCTGCGGTTTGGAAAGCTCTGGTCAGAAGTTGTGGTTATAGGCCTATGTGTGTGCATGAGCCCTTCAGAGAGTGTAATGATTCTTAAGGTGGGCACCTGTAAATGAGGGCCCTCCCTTTTTACCTCCTGGCTTTATTTGTCTTTCTCAGAGTTTGACACAGGGTCTCTCAATTTTGATTTTGACAACTTTAATAACTAAGGGACTTTTATTTTTTGGTACCTGGGATCGAACTCGGGTCCTTGCGCTTGTGCAGCAGGTGGCAAAACCACTGAGCTAAATCCCCGGACCTAAGGGACTTTTTTTTTTGCAAGAGTATGAGAAGAAATAGAAAATCTGTATTCATTTACCCATTCTCAAATTTCTTTATTTTTTATTGTTTCTTTGAAACATCTGTAAAAGTTACTTGACATATGAAAATTATTTTTAGACTCTGGAGTAAGTACTACTGAATACTGTACAGTTTTCAGTAAGTTATTTTCATCAATTATGTACTTTGAAGATTGCAATAAAACTAAAAGAGGAAAGCCTTCTTCATGGAAAAAAATGATTTCATTTTGAACAGAGTATTTCAGGATATTCTTTTGTGTCTGAGTTGGATTTTCCAGTAATTGTATTTTGTAGACTCAGTAGAAAGTTTACATTTATAAAAGTCAAATGAAAGCTAAAACAGAATTATGCATATATGGTAGTATGTATATGTGTGTGTGTGTGTATGTGTGCGTGTGTGTGTGTATATATGTGCATGTGTGTGTATTTAAAATATATAATCTCCTCCAGAAATCATATTTGATAAAAATGAGTTATCCTAAATGGTCCTGTGTGCCCAAATGCCTAAAGTATTTTTCTTGAGTATGATAGTAAATTCCTAGAGAAAGCCAGCAAATCTTTTTATATGGTAATATTATCCAGTAGGCATAATTAGACTATCAAATTCCCAAGAAGTACAAACTCTTTTATTTCCTAAAATAATAAGCTTTAAAAAATGCACACATAAATTTTTGGAATTTTTATTGTGGTTCCAAAAGAGCACAATCTTTTTATGATTATCCAATTCTATAAATAAATATTTTACTGTTCTATTGGGTAAAAAATCAAGTAATAAAAAAATTTCCTCATGTGTTCAAATTTACCCTGAAGGCCTTTTATTTTATTTAAATTGTTTAAGTAGTATTACTAGTTTGAGGAGAATGTATTTTGCATTTAGAATCATATAATGTTAACCTTTTTTACGCTAAGTATACTATGGGATGATCCCTATAATAACTTCTTCACTTTATAAATTAAAAAAATAGACTCTCAAACAAGTTAAGTAAATGATCAGATATATGTCTGAAATCCCAGTTCCCAGTTCATGACATACAGTCATTGAGACTTACCCATGTTGTTTAGATAATTGAGAAATAATATTGGCCTTGTAGGAGCTAATAATCAAGGTGTGCAGATGCATGAACAGAAAATTTCAGTAGGATGCATTAATTATGGTAATAATGGTAACTACGGGGTAAAATATATAAAGAGGAATAACCCACTCAATAAATGCTTTTATTTTTTTTGAATGACATCTGTCTTAGTTACTTTTCTCTTGTTGCTGAGACAAAATACTCGACACTCAAAGTTAAAGGAGGAAAAGTTTGTTTGGCTTATAGTTCACAGAGGTTTCTGTCCACAATCGGCTGGCTCCAAGGCAGAGTGGCACATGGCAGAGGGGTGTCCCAGAGGAGAGACAGTTCAGGGCACCAGAAGGTAGCAAAGCAAAAGGGGAAAACCACAGCTCTTTCTGTCCCTTATATCTTCGGGCGGGTAGCACTCACACCCTTAGTCCTGGTGCCCTTGAGCCTAGCATTGCACCATGAATCAATCACACACTCTGGATTCAGCCACCTCATAAAGAGCCCTGCCCACGACTGCATGAGGCTTTGGAGGGACATCTAGACACAAGCCATAACAGCATTTATTGAGCATCGACTGCATGCCAGCTGGTAAGTGCTGGTAACTAAAATAGATGTAATTACTGATTTCAGGACCGTTAGGCTGTAAGGGGACAGATGTCACTCAATCACACAAAAGTGTACAATAGAAACTGCAATAAGTGATTGAAAAAATGAATGCAGGTCAAGGGCACATAACCGCCCTGGGGGGCTTAAGGTTCAGGGAAGGCTTCCTTCTTGTATAATCAATTGGCAGCCCATAGGTCAAGGGAATTGGGCTGACTGATTCTTTATATTAATATGAAATATTAATAGAAAAATGTTAAAAATATAGAGAATATAGTTATGTTTTTAAAATATAGAAATAACAGACTCTCTTCCACATATTCTAGTTTGTACAGAGAAGGAATTTCATAGGTTTGTAATCTCACAGCCAGAAATAACACCCATGTCTCACCACTGGGCTACTTCAGCAGCTGCTGTGGTCTCCTCTGCCAAAAACAAGCACAAGTCCTGCCAGTATGGGGAGCTGATGCCAGCGTTCGGGCGCCGGCTGCTCCTCTCTGGTCCTGCAGTGTTTCTGGCCGAGCCACTGAAGTGAGTTCCTGGAGGAGCCTACTTCTTCACTGACCTGCAAAATTAGTTTTATGATCAAAGGCAGCATTGGCGTGAAACCTCAGCCACTTAACCTCAGGGCCCCTCACTTGCATGAGTCCCCTTGCAAATCCTGGGTCTGGTCCTGGGTATTTATTTGACTCACGTATATTTGTAAAAATTGGAAAAAAATAAGGCATTTCAATCTTACCAAGTTAAGACTTTTTTTTTCACTCCAATTTCCCTTCCATGACTCTTCTTTCTGTGTCAGATGGTTTTGAAGTGCCTCAGGAATTCGTGGGCTCCACATAAGAGAAAGTGGAGTTGAGGTATTTAATTTGCATAGAATGGGATATGTAGTTTTTAGGTACTCTGAGCAGATTTAAACTATTACAAACTATTGATAACCATTTTGGTACAGGGATGGCTTCCAAAAATACTCATGTGGCCCACCACAGCATCTCATCTGGTATTGTGACACAAAGGTATGGGAGAGATGTCACCCCATTGTATGAATGCATCTTACAGTGGCCAGTGCAACAAGTCTGGGTGACGGAGGAGAAACAAAGTCTGAAATGCACAGAGTCAGAAGCTAGTCTGGTTATATCCTTCCAGTCCTCACTGTAATATTGTATTAGAGACCACTCAGGAAGCAGAAATATCACTCAACAATGTAAACAAAAGCAGTTTAATGGAAAGAAATATTAGTTATGACAAGGGTTGACTTACTAAACAGTAAAGACAATTCCAAGGAGCTTAGGAGTCACAGTCATGGAGAGCAGCCCAGACTCTAGGGCTGAGGCAGAGCACCCAAGGAAGGAGCAAATCATCCCTGTTCCTAATTGGAGATGAGCTCTCAACCCTACTGGAGTGAGTGCAACCACAGTGCCTGGGTGGTGACCACCCGGCCTGAAGCACTGTGAGAATACTCCACCCTCTGGGGGAGGAGAAGCCATCTGCAGAAAGATGCCCTGCTGAGAACTCACCAGAAGCTGCCCACTGGGCTTTTGTCCTGGGAAACTGCCCTTCAGTTTGCTGAGCAAAGCTGCCTTAAGGATGTCCTTCCTCTAGTCCTAGTTCTTTGAGGTATCTCCATACTGATTTCCACAGTGGTTGCACCAGTCTGCACTCCCACCAGCAGTGGAGCAGGGTTCCT